TCTCTCTCTCTCTCTCTCTCTCTCTCTCTCTTTCTCTCTCTCACACACACACACACACAGTGCTCTTTGTCCATTTGTTTTGTCTATTCTATGTGTGAAAGTGTGTGAAAATTGAATGTGTCTTGGTGATTGTATAAAATCAGCATCAGATGATGAGGAGGATGAGGTTGCTGATAATTTCAATAGTAGATATGTGTGAATGTGTGGATATGTGTTGATGTGATGTTCTGTATAATGTACATGTTCTGAAAATCTTTGAAAATAAAAAAAATAAACTAAAAAAAAAGAGATCAGATCCAAATTTGCCACTTTCCTATCTACTGGATGAGAAAGCAGGCAATCTAAAAACACCTCATGGGAAACTCCAAAGTGGATCCATGCTTCCATTTCATGTAATTAAAGTAAGTATTATGTTGGAGTTCCTTATTTCATAATACCCCAGCTGGTAAAATAATATCTGACAAATAAAACCAGGCATGCAGTTTATATACAGTGGACTATTGCAAGTCTATAGCAAAGCCAATCCCATCCCCCCTCCCCAAAATAGTTTCAATTAACCTCAGTGTGCAAAATTAGGGTAGGTAGCCAATTTTAGAAAGATTTTTTTTTTTTTTTTTTTAAAAAGGGTTAAGAACAAACAAAATATTAGGGTAGGTAGGTTTACTGGAAACAAACAATTTTGAATTTAATACCTTAACCAGAGTAAATCAATGAAAATATATACATATATACTTAAAAAAAATATGTTTTGTAAACTAATGTATCATAAGTCAATCTGACCATGCAAGTAAATATGTTTTGTAAACTAATGTATCATAAGTCAATCTGACCATGCAAGTAAATATGTTTTGTAAACTAATGTATCATAAGTCAATCTGACCATGCAATATATTAAACATCTGCATTGCTATTTTTTAAGGCCAGACTAATTTAACTCCGATAGTGTTTGACTATATTCAGTATTGTCTAAATTGATTTAACTATAAGTTATAATTTAATTTTTGCAATGTACATGTAAGCAAATAATTTCACATCAAACTCCAGCATTTCTTAATATAATTTTATAATATACATGAACTGACATATTGTAAAATGAGACTCGAGTTAACTTCAGCCTGAATGCTATTTCTTTAGCTTCAATTTAGTCTTAAACGTGTATAATATAATAACTAACAGTTCGCAGCAGGCCAAGTTTACAGGGTTTCAATTCCACGCCAGTCACTTGAGTTCTTACAACTTTTCACTGTGTGCCAGAGGATCGCATCATATTCTGCAAATCATTTAAAACGACCCACTGTTTGCCCTCCCCTGAAATAATCCTTGCCCGATTAATTTTATTCAGGATGAAAACTGAAAAGAGTTAAAATCCATGAATTTGTTAAAATATTTTTAACTATTTTTAGCTCAGTGAGCTTATGTCGTGGTGCGGCACCGTCCGTCTGGCGTCAACATTTTAGCCCACCATCATCTGATGGTGGGCTATTCAAATCCCCCTGCGTCCGTGGTCCGTGGTCCGTCGTCAGTCGTCTGTCGTCCGCCATCCGTCGTCCGTCCGTAAACAATTCTTGTTATCGCTATTTCTCAAGAAGTACCAGAAGGATCTTTCTCAAATTATATATGTAGGTTCCCCTTGGTCCTTAGCTGTGCAGGGCAACTTTTGAGACTGATCGTATAAACAACATGGCCGAGAGGCAGCCATCTTTGATTTTGATAGTT